AATACGGTTGCTGTATCTGGTTTGGTGCTTCTGCTATTCATCTCGATGTTCGTGACAAATTCCAAAGAAAAATCTGATCAGGCATGTCGACTTCAGTCACTTTCTCACTGACATGACGTGCCTTCCCTCTGTCTTTTCTACAAATATTTTCATGGCAACTGCTCTGACGAGCTTTTTCATCCTGGTGCCCTGACTATATAAGTCGAAGTGTGCTACTAGATTGGCAACTAGGTCTCACCGTTTTATGAAGTTGAAATAGATAAACACAACCGTTACTTCTACTCCAAAAGTTTCTTCTCATGCACTTCCCACCCGTGTAACTCTCTTCCGATTCCTTGTTTCCTTGATAACTACGATCTTCAAAGATTTGAATGCAACGTCAATCGCCATCTTCGTTCTTCTTGACTCCTGTTCCTTTTTTCTCCTTCCCTCAGTCCTCCCAGTCTCATTCCCTTTCCTCTTCACCCCGGGTAACCATCTCAGTTCTAGTCGGATGACCGACTTGCTTGAGATGAAATGATTTACAAAAAATCATTTGTACTTAAAGAATAAATACGACTTCTTAAGCTATCCTCTTCGTGTGACACAATGCATTACATAAAATGCTTTTCTTGCACATTATTTACATTATTCGGACTACTGTCCTCATCAATGTCGCCATATTCATTACAACGTTTCGGCCGTTGTACGCTCCGGCCTTCTTCAGGTGGTTGGAATGTCGAACTGAACCCTTTATTTCGCTCACTGGGGTAGACTGTTCTAGTTCCACGTGCCATGTCTGATGGATGTCAGTTATCAGTTATCTCCTGTTAATTTCCTTCCGAAAGTTCTCCACTGCCTTAACCGGGTATTGAACTCAGACTCTTTGGATCCTGTCACTGGATCTAACACCTTTATCCACTGTGCCATGTGTCTTTGAGAACATCTGTGTATGAATTTCTGTGGCTTAGCATATGTGCTGATTCCTTAAACTTAAGGAATCAGCACATATGTTTTAGAAATGTTGATTTAAAATTTACTATCCACTGTGCCATGTTCATAATACCTCATCTCAAAAATATAGACAGATTCTTTTCTTGCATTTTGTTAAAACCTATTTATTCTTACATCAGTTCTATCTATTCTATTCTATTCTATTATTTGACGTGTTTAATTTCACCTGCTTTGTTTATTTAGTGTCGGTATTGTGAACAATATTTGGTGGCAAATAAAACGCAGGGGGTGGGAAATAAGCGATCCACATTTTGTGGGCGCTAACGATACCATTTTCACATAGAGCGCCTCGACTGACCATTCGGCTAAACGCAGATTTAACATGGCAAATAATATACTGAGGCATTTTTCTTTTACCCAAGTCTTTTGAAAAATATGCGTTTTCTATGCCATGAAATATATATGTTGTCCTCTGACAAATTGTACACATGTGTATTAAATTTCCATGCACTCAGTATTCTCTAAAGTCATTATATATATATATATATATATATATATATATATATATATATATATATATATATATATATATAGAGAGAGAGAGAGAGAGAGAGAGAAGTGTCATTTTATTTTTTACTTTAAATAGTGTGTATTACACTTATCGGCCTGAGTGTTCGAGAAATCTTTATAAAGCTAATGTGCTCTCCGGAAGAGATCGAACCTGCGTCCCTCATTCTATGAGAAACCACCATTTGATCTGGCGAGCTTTACAACTCGGCTACGAAGAGCTTTACAGTTCAGAAAGGCTGTATTCTCATTTTTTTTCTTTTTTAGGAAATTACGCCTCCTAACTAAACGAACGTCTTGTGAGTGTCAAACTCTAAAAGCCCTTCTTCCTCAATTATGTGAACAAGAAATTTCAGCTGTCTCTTTCTGAATATAAATGTTTTTTGTTTCCATTTTTATTAAGAGTTCCATGTTGCTTACGTGCCCCTTTCATGGAATTCTCATCATCCTTCTTTAGAACCACATTTCTGTTGGCACAAGTTTTGTCTTCATTGTGAGGAAATTGTTCAGCATTCACTGATATTACATCGCAGCTCAACACTCTTTTCTTTTCCTGTTTTTTAATGCTTTGCTTAGTTTTATGAATGAATAATTTGCCCAACAGACATTCTGCGTAATATATTAACTGACAGGCAAGAACAACAATGCAAAATACAGATAGCTATGTATTTTGCTTCTGCAAAGCAACATCTCGAGTTGACTTTTTTTTTTTTTTAAATGTAATCTACTTAAATGATCCGGAAGGTTGCTCAACCCAACTTTGAACGGGGTTAAGATTATTGCATTTGGTTATGTAAAACATAAACCACGGCTGTCTTCTTAAAAAAGAAAAAAGAAACTTCTTATAATTTATTTGCTCTTTTTTCAAGTACCTTAAGTACCTCAAAACAGATTATTATTGAACATAAGTACAAAAGACGAACTCTCTGTCTCTCTCTCTCTCTCACACACACACACACATACACACGCACACATTCACACACAAAGATATATATATATATATATATATATATATATATATATATATATATATGTATATATTCGTCTATCGGCCTGAATATTCGAGAAATCTTATTAAAGAAAATATGCGGTTAGGTTCAACATATTTTAACTGTCTCTGCCAGAAAGAAGTTTTGGTCAGTCATGTTTCACGTGCATTCGACTTGTTAAATAAGCGTTAGTATAATTTGTGGCGTTCCGATTCAAGGAGAGACGAGTCATCCTTTTTTTTTTTTTAAATCTAAAACAAACGGTATGTACGCAAAAACATTCATAAATAGACATGCGAAAACCCACCCAACATTATGTCTACCATACACACGCATGCGCGCGCGCACACACACACACACACACTTAAAATGTACATTACCATCTGAAACCTATATAAACAAACTAGAATTATTATACACTTACATATGTTGAATGTATAATTTGTTTTTAATCATTTCACCCCAAGGAAGGCGATAATGCCACTAAGACACAATGAGTTATAGGCAGTTAAAGAGAATGAGAAGACTTTAGTGAGGATTAAAGAAAATAAAAGAACTGGAATCAGGAAGACAGAAGGCGATTAGCGTTACATTTAAATTTTTGAAAATTTTAGGTAGCAGGGAAGCAAGAAATCAGAAGGAAGTTCCACAGGTGAGAAATGCGAAACTGTTAGAATAGAACTTACTGTTTTACGGTTGCATCAACCTAGTTTAAAAATAAAAAAAAGAATAAAAAAATAAATAAATCTCCATAGACACTTAACCAGACTAGACGATGTCATCTTCCGCTTTAAATTTAGACACCCCAACCTTACCCTGACTTGAGGTCTGTGAATGTAACTGAGATATTGATACAAATTATTAACCCTTACGTCCCTTTTCTTTAAACAATTGCTCTAGACGTTACCATAGTAATTTTAATTTCAATAATGAATATGCTTATAAAACGCGTAAAATTCAGGAATAAGTTATTCCCAAAAAAATTTCGCTTGAAGATGGAAGAGAGCTTAGTACTTAAATTCATTTTAATTCAAATAATTATATTGAAATTTTCGGCTCTTGTTTTGAAA